GCGCGCGCTCTCTCGACGAATTCAACCTGATCTGGACAAGGCGCCTAGCAATCCGGGAAGCTCGAGAGCCTCCTTCCTGCTGGCATCGCACCGTGGGAATCGAGGATTTCACGCACCACCCCCATCGCTTAGGCACTTGGTGACATGCACAAGGAGCGGCTATCGTCTGTCCCTTCCGCCGTGTCACAACGAACGGTCAAGATCAGCCCCCGCCGCCGCCGCGTGTGCCTGACACCCGACGCTGAGGAGCAGGTCCTGTCCGTACTACATGACGCAAACAAAAGCTGCTGGTTAATTCTATCGTCAATCAAGAAATCATCCCAAACAGGGGAGGGCATTGCGAAGCCCGCCCGGGACTTGGGGCATCTAGACTTGTGGCTGTAGGGTACCCTACTTGGCTGCGAGTATTTCCGGCCCCCATCCTCCACAGGTGCGTCGGCAGGTGGCTGTGATTTGCCAACCGAACCAAGTAACTATCGATAATGACCAGCATCACCCACTGTTGCAGATGGCCCGTTTGTGCGCATGCGTACCAGACTTTGGTCCAGTTATCGAGGTTGCTTGCTGGCGATGGCGTGCATGCGCAATCGACTGGAGGGTACCGGCCGGCCCTCCCTCCTCTGTTTCCCCCTTGCAGCGGCGAAGAAAGCATGGCGGACCACGGCTGCCCTTGGCCGTCGTCTCAGCTTTTTATGAACCCCACGTTGCGAGCTGCCCTCTGCCCTCCGTCATTGGGGTCCGGAGGCCATGTGGTTGCCCGTTAGCTGTCGCGCCCCTCGGCCCCGATCTCGGGTCTGGCCGACTGTTGCACTGAGATGGCCACGGAAGCCTCTTTCGCCGTCGACTCCCCCCGCCGTCGCTGGCCAGTCAGGGGATCGAGGCAGGAGAGCATTGCCGTCGGGTGCGGTGATGAAGCGTGTGAAGCGAAATCTCACAGCATGAGGGCCAATGAAGGGGCTGTGAACAGGGGGAACGTGTCATGCAATTTGGCGCGGCGTGTGGGTTCTCTCTCTGGGAGAGTCTCCTCCGATCTGACTGCCCCGCGTCTATCAGATCTCCAAGTCCGATGTCGAGCGCGGCCCACGATGACTGTTCAGCTCTCCTCCTCATCATGGCCCCGTCTCTCAGCTGTCGTTCAAGCTGGCTTGCGATAAAAGATCGAGCCTGCACAAGGCAAATTGTGGACCAATTCGTCATCAGATACAGGCTCCGTGGGCGGGTGCCGAATCGGGCCAGGCTGACGATTGTCACGGTCCAATTCATCCCAACGTGGCCTGGGGAGCATGCTTCTCCACGGCGGTGCCATTCAGGATGAAACCCAGAAGCGTGCTCTGCATCGTCGACCCCTCCAAGAAATGACGCCTCGGCGGGGGAGCAAGGGTGCGTCCAGAGGCGGTTAATTTTAGCAACAATACCCGCAATCTGGTCGTAATCTTCATGCTTAAGATTTTAATATCAGCCAGATGCCGTCCTGGGCAGCGACGAGCCAACCGTCGCGAAATCTCTCGATCCTGTCGCTCCTTACCCGCAGCGAAAGAGGTGTCGAGCGCCTGTTGGGGCCGTGGTCGCTTGTTCCCCGAGTCCTGGGGCGAGGGGGGGCGAGCACGCACGCTAGCGAAGCGCACGAGATGCCCGCCGACAAGTCCCGGTTGGGTGACAGACCAGTTTAAGCGGATTCGGCACTCTCATTGGACAGAAATCAAGAGAAAGGGACCTATGAGCGGCCAAGGAAGCCTCGGAAGTAGAGGCAATATCGCAATAAAAAAGGGGAAGGAAGCCCGCGAGAGCTGGTTGATCCATTCTTAGAAACAGAGATGAGATGCAGACGGCATGCACCCCGTCACGGCGTGTGTTGTACCATCCCGCGGCGGGACCCTGATCAGGCGCGGCTATGGCGATTCGCACCTGCGCTGCGCTGCTGTCGAGCTAGCGAACCGTGATCCACCTGAAAAGCTCAGTCCCGCGATGGCGAACGGACGGAGGGCAAACCAGCCCCGGTCGACGCTGACTGCAGACGATGCTGGAATCTGCCAACCACATCGTCCGACGGGACAGCGACGAGCCGGCCGTGGGTGTTCGGCCAGCCGACAGACTGCACGGGCATTCGGTGCCATCACCGACGCGTTATTATGCCGACGATAATGCGTAGCTGACGGTATACGGACTACACGTTGGAAGCCGAGGAAGCGTATTCGCTCGGAATCCTCGAGTCGCAACCAGACCCTCGCACCCGTAACATTGGGTTTAATATCAGGGTCGGAGAATGGGCGGGCTGCCCAGCCCCAAGACGCCGGTCGGCCTGGTCAAAGCGGTGTGGCCAAAGTGACGTTTGCGCGGAAGGCGACAGCTCATCCTCTCGCCCGCTTGAGATGAAGCGGTGTGCTGGGGGTGGGCCAAAGCGACCAGGCAGTGCGCGGGTTGCTTCCGCTCGTTTCGGAATCCGGAGCGCTTCAACCCTCTGGAAGGTGTCATTCTGAGATATGCAGGTAATCCTCCGAGGGTTGTTCAAGAGTCAAGCCGACGTCGAGACATTATTATCTGTTTGCCTGGTCGGCCCCGGACCCGACAGAAAGGAAACCACGGTGACTGGGCGACAAACGAGATATTCGTGAGGGCAACACAGTGCTCAGGGTCGAGTTTGTCCATGGGCGCACACGGCCGGGAATGCGCGTCTAAAAACAGACGGATCTGTTTTTGGCGAGCCCAACATCTGGGTTTTTGGACGTGATTGCCAGAAAGGGTCTTCAAGGTGAAGGACGGCGCGGCCTTACCCGCCCCAGCCGCCTCACCGAGCTGACGTGGGGCTGGCCGCACCTGACACGGCAAACTCCAGACGCTTTCCTCTCTTTCCTCTCGATGGCGCGCATCGCTTCTCATCAACTGCCTCTCGCCCCGTCTCAGCTCATGCGTGACGACAAACTCCACGAGGCACACCGGGTCGTCACCGTTCTCTGACAGCCAGCTGTTGACGGGCTGGAGGCAGACGCTGCAGCGAATGGGAGCTTGGCACCAGACACGCTGACCTGCTAACCGCCCAATGGTGTGTCGGCGCGTATGGGTGCGTCGCCGTCCAGCGCTTGCGGTAAGAGAGCTCTCGATACCGTGATCATTTTAGGCACGCCTTCTAGAAGGCTTCGATGCTGGCTGTCCGTCAGTCCGGCAGTCGCGCACCCCGCCGTGGTGGTCGAACCCGGCGTCTAACCGGTATTTCTAGACCACCGACCCTGCGGAGACGTGCGTCCGCCCTGTGCTGCTGCTGCTGCCCGCGGACAAGAATAGCACCGCCGGGCCCGTGAACTCGGCGAACCGGTTGGTTGACAAGGCGGCGACCCCGGCGAAACGCCGCATCTATGCCTGCGATGGCATGCTTCCCCGCGTCCGATCGATTGGCCCGTCCGACCCTCCGGCTCTCGCAGGACCGCAACGAGGAAGCGACCTTGGCGCCGAATCGATGCAAGGTCGAGGCTCTGCGTCCAGACGCCCTGTGGCGCTTATCTTGGACTGGGGATGCTTCTATTCTTGGCCCTGTTGGGTCGAGTGCTGCCACGACATTGGCCAAAAATCCCCGGGCCCTCGAAGCTAGCGCACAGCATCAGTGTTTTCGAAACGCCGCACTTGATATCGCCAGGGCTCCCAGGCACGGTGATATCATCCCGCTCCTCAGATCTTGCATCGTCGAGATCTTTGAGGCGTCGACAACCCCAGCAGCAGCATGAGCACCTGGCAGCTCGCCAGGGCGCTTGCCGCTCGACCAGTCGGCGGCTGCGGCAACCGTCTCCATGTTTAGAACCACGGGCTGGCCGGGCACCATTCCGCTGGGACACTTACCCGCGCAGTCACGCCATTGCCGCCGTTGCGTCTAACATGGGCGACTGCGCCTAAGATGGGCGACTGCGCCAAATACCCCCTATCACGACTGCAGAACAAGATCTCTTGCCGCATCGTCCCCTGCCTGTTCTGTCTTCGAAGTCTGGGTACCTGGCTGTAGGGCTCAAGGTACTGATACAAGTCCCCCGACAGATCTCGAGATGGTACCTGCATGGTCCGGATCCACTTTGAACGTCGCCGCCTCACACATCCCCCGTCCTGGTTAACGCCATCAGTGCTCTAGTCTCGGAGAATCTATGCCCTATGCTCTCGGTCCGGCCATTGGTCTTGACTGCAGTTTATTCTCCGAGCGGCAGCATAGGACATTATCATCTGCAGAAGGGCCCATCCTTCCCCGAGCCGACGGAGCCTCAGCACGTGTCCCGGCCTGACTTGAGCATACATATATGTGCTATCTTTAGATCCAGACAACCTCGCGTCCCGCCGCGTGAATCTATCCCACTTAGCCAAGCGGCTATACCGTGGCAGCGCAGCGAGTTGACGAACACTATCTGCCTGTGTGCTTGTGCATTCTGCAATCTTGCATACAGCAAAGAAGGTCCGATCGCATGTGGAACTCTGCAGAGGCCACTTGGGGGCCAGTCCTACAGCTTGGTTCATTAGCCCAGCGGCTCGTCTCCAAGCAATATACACCCCGAGTAATATTCTCGGGCCGCCCCGTACATACCAGGAATGCTGACTCTCAAGAGTCGGGGCTTTGATGAGCTTAGCCGGCGCGTCTGGGGGCCAATTAGCATCGGATTCACAAGCTGCTGTCGTACGTTTGTTTATCTGACGTTCCTTCATCTTGGGGACGGGGAAGCATTGATAGCCAACCAAGGCTGGCTACCCTGGAAATTTGGTGTTTCTCTTGTGAAGAGTTTAGGATCTCGGCGGCTCTTTGGGTGCCAAGAGGCGAGACGCGATCATGATACAGCGGACAGGGGGGAAGGGAGGCTGAGCTTGTGGATGACTGAAGATCCTCATCACCATGATAGGGAGTAGATTTTGGAGGAGGCGGTGTGAAGTTGATCAAGTGTGGTTTTGTGACCACATGGTTGTGCGGCTATGCTGCTCAGGGGGCGCGGCACCGCCTCGTGAGGATCGATACAGACACTAGGAATCAGCCAGTCGTCCGTATGGTCTAGTGGTATGACATTCGCCTTACAGTTTCTCTGTGAACTGGTTCCGCGACAGGTCCCAGGTTCGATCCCTGGTGTGGACAATGTGGTTTTCTTTTGCTGGTGGGCTCTGCTGATCGGACCGTGATCGGTCCTGGGTCTTTCATTTTGCTGGCTCCGATGTGTGGCTATGGGTTGGTGGGGACTGGGTTGGGGAGTTCTCAAGTGTCACAAGGGTGACTTCTTTGTATGTGTTTCTTTACAAGATGCCTGGATATATTGTGTATAGATGGGTGGCGAAGAATCATAGGGATTCATTCTTCATGAGCTGTGACTATACTCGTTGACCTAGATACCTGGCTGGACCACACTAAAGACTGAACACCAGTACGGTGCGTGGGATGTGTATACCATTGTGTTAATATGGAGATCCTGTACTGGAATGACGGTCTAGTTGCCGACGTACCTATGGTACTCTGGTTGCCTCCCTAGCAAGCAAGAGACGATAGTGAGAGGAGGACGCACGCACCCTTGCTCTCCTCGGGGTTAAACGGCAAGTTGTGATGGTCAACCCAGTGCTGCTCTGCTACAGATTTTACCAGATGCTTTCGTTGCTGGACCTGATGTGGGTATTGTCAAGTCATGTATGGCAGAAAGGGTGATAGATTGTCCACAGTGGGGTCGAGATATACAAAGCAGTGGTCAGATTCTCTCGAGGCCTTGTTGGTAAAGACAGCAGATATTTTGTTAGTTTGTATCTGCCCGGCACCAGGGTGAACTTGATGTCATGGGAATATGCCCTGATTCGACGTCGTGACGAATATATCTCCGGGTATCGACTCATACATGTACATTGTGAATGGTACGGGATTATGTTGAGGCACGCAGGTGACCCTGTCAGTCTGATAGGTATGTAAACTGGTAGGGGTACTGTTGGAAGTCCCAGGTAAACGTACTATATCAGCTCCTCGACTGGACTCCTAATTCTCAAACTTGAACAAGTCAAATCTCTTGGGAGACACGACTTGCTGGGGGCGGACAAGTAAAACGAAGGATCTGGGTATATTCCAGTTAGTTGCAAAGCTTACGAGGCTCTCCCCTTTTGTCCATCACCATCTCAATACCCACCGAGACGGGCCACCTTGTCTCATTGCACTCGGCGAGTCTCCAGACCGAGATGGCGATTTCAAAACGAGAATTCAGCTCACCCTTACAAATATACACCCAACAATGAAGCGTCGCGCCTCTGTAGCCCATGAGCAACACATATCCACCCTGATCCACCTCATCCATCGCCAACCCGTTGAAGGTCACAAATCACCATCCCCAGTCTCGCCCCTGACCTCCTTCCCACCCGGGTGCTCACCAGAACATTACCTATCGAACAGAGCAAATCACCCCGTCCCCGTGACGGGATACGTCACCCAGATACCTAGTACCTAGGCAAGGCCCCTGAATAGGTAGCTCCCTACAAAACTACGTAGACTAGCCTGGCGAATATAGATGAATGCACACTGAATGCTATTTGGATGACCAGAAGCCCGGGTCAACACCAGACAGCCACCGGCGTAGACTACCTAGACAAGACGGTATCTATCCAACGATGCGAGCCAACTATCGGCTCGTTATACAGAGGTGTCTTGGACACAGCTATCCACCGATGGACACTCCCAGGACAGACACATCTTAGTAAACCGAGGCAGTTATACTGGCCATGACAGAGCGACCAGGTGGAAGACACTGGCGACAACACACAGCCTCGACTAGTCATTCCATGCTCATGATTCATTACTAGGTGCCCACCGAAACTCAACACCGAATCTCCACCCCCCCTTTACTGACAGTAACATACTTAACCCCCTTAAACGGCTTCACCGTATCCCCGAGCCCGCGACTCTTCCGTGGATCAAAGACAATACTATCCACTTTAATCCCACTCGCCAGCCACCCCGTCACAGCAAAACTTACCGACGCAGAACTCGGCATGAGCGTTTTATTCTGCGCCGCGCGTCGTTCCTCCTTTTCCTCACCTGTCCCTGCCACCTCGACTGCCTCGCTTTTCGAACCCTTCGCCGGCGAAGCCTGGTACGGCTCGTCGTATGTATACTCGCTCTTCCCGAGCGTGTTGAACCCGAACCCCGTCGGATCCGACTCGACATCCTCCTCTGTCATTTGTCCGACGACGGTACACCGTAGACCGAAATAGGAACCGCCCGAGGCTAGGTCCTTGTTCGGGATACTCCACTCTAGAAAACGGTCGCCTGGGTTGTAGTTTGCGTCGCCTTTGCTGGGTCTAATCTCAGAGAGGTTGCGGACGTCGGAGGGGAGCGGGACTGTCACGACGAGATCTTGCAGAGACGGGGAGGATGGAGCGCCGGACTGCGGCATGCTGAATCCCCTCCCGCCTACTCCGCCTCCCCTGCTGACCAGTGTGTTTCCCCGGAAGATGTTGTTTATGTTCAGCCGGACCTCAAAGTCGGATCCGTTGGAGCCGAGACTTGTTTTGACTTCGAGACTGACTGGCAGCTTCAGATTATTTGCACTTGACTTGGTGATTTTGGAGTCCGTGAAGGGCAGAAGATCCACTTCGTAACCGGCGAGGGTGAACCGGCCGTCGGGCGGGATGAAACTTAGCACCCCCGGCTGCTCCCTCCATTTCGCAAGACGCACGCATGGGTGGAAGACGGGAAGTTCGAGCAGCGTGTTCAGGTTGTGTCTCCCCGACGGCCCTGTCAGTGTGAGCGTGATATCGGGTACCCCTGAGACTTTCGAGTTGCAAGCAATTGTCCCGTTAGCAAAAGCGGCGAGCGGCCTCCCTGATGGCGCAAGGGTTACCGATAACGTCTCAATTACGTCGGCATAAAACTCATTCGACGTGTGTCTGACATTGGCGCGCCGCCATGGTAAGGCTGGCGTAGCCTGGGCGAGTAATGACGGAGCGTGGGGCTGGTTTCCGACGCCGAACCCGGATTTTCTGCATGGAATCAGCTTTCTAAGCCCCTATACCCGTGAGAAGAAGGCATACGCTGGCAGGTTGGGCAAGTTGAGATTACCCAGCAACTTCCCAACGAAGCCCTCGACCTCTACTAGATCCCGCAGCGCATTAGGCTCTGTGGTATTGACTATGCCCGTATCGCACATCTCGGTGAGAAGCTGGGCGGCGACATCGTAGTTGCTCTCGATCTTGTGCGCCAACAGGGGTGCGCCGAGGAATTCCTCGAACGAGTCGACGACGCGGTGGAGGAACTCGAGAACGAGGAGGGGTTCGACCTCGGTCGACGAGGTTACGAGAAACAGCAGATTCGCATGGTTGAGGCTGAAGACTAGCGTGGGAGGGTTGGTGTTGGGGAGGTAGATCAGGTTCGGGCGCGGCGCTGCGTGTTCGAGATAGAGGGGCAGCAGGTGTGTCGCCGACAGCGGCCGCGACGTGTATGTATGCGAAAGAACCAGGCTGCTTGGGACAGTTAGCTCCCCATCCGGCCATGATGTTGTTAGCGGCGCTCACTTGTGATCGTCAAAGATGTGCAGCGCTTCTATGACGCCGTTCATGGTGTTTTCTGCCTGTCGCGCTTCTGTAGAGGGCTGTTGTTGAAGCTCCGCTGGGAGCACTGACGCAATTCGGCGCCGGATGCCCGAGCAGGGGGTTCTCAACCGCCAAGCGACGGGCGGTGAAACTTGGCAGAATTAGGGCGCCTTCTTGGCAGGCAGCGCGTCTGCATGGATGAGATGCCAAACGAAATCGAGCATCTTGGTTTACACCACAGCCGTCGCCATGGCGAAAGAAAAAGTACCATCTGTCCAGACTCTGGATAAGCCGGAGGATCTCCAGACGCTTTTAAGGCAAGACCGTGGTGATGACTGTCTCTCGTGTCGACTCGTCGGTGAGTACCTCATCTCACTTGTTGTCTCAAAAACATCACGGCTTAACATAGCAATAGGTAGTGGCGCCTTTCTAGGTCTGGCTGGCTACACATACTGGTCCGGCCATACGCAACTTCAACAACAGGAAGCACGAATCCTCGCGAGCAAATCCATGTTCGGTATGCGCAGCAGGCGGTTCGGTATCACGGGCATTTCCCTTGGCCTTGCCTGGTTAGGTCTGTGGAGGTTCATCAAATGAAGCGCCTGCCTTGCGGACAGCGGAAGCACAACTCGAAACGACTCCTCTCATCAGACTCGCGGGACGGTGGCCTTGATCCAACTCGACGCATCCGGCCTCGATTCGGCTAGGACACCAGCTTCGTGCCGTAGCGGCCGAATGATTGACCAACCGCTTCTCATCCGGTCTATGGATCTATGGGATGAAGCTTTGGCAGTGAATGAGGGAGAGTGTGGTGGCTGTATTAATATGCGGACTGTATATAATCATCATGTAAGATCAGTTTGAAGAAGCGATGACGGATGGAATAGAAGAGGTTCTATACGCCAACATTAGACCCTTCCATTACTACGGCTTTGAACTGACGGGCGAGACCTCATATGCATCTATGGCCACTCAGTCGGATCCATTCGCCGCTCGTCTTTAGTCATCAGTCTAGGCCAGCCGAGACTGATTATTTTGGGCCAGCTGCTCGCATCCATCTCCACGGCCACCCGGCCTGAGATGTGATCCATGAGCCCCCCACGTGCCTCCTCAAGTCAGATGGCAAGTTCCAGCCGGGAAGCATGTCTTGCAGCAAATTTTGTGTTGTTGCCCTGCCTGTCAAGGTGCCAGCTTGCTGACCCCGTGGGCTTACTCATCAGGGATCTGGTGAGAACGCATCTGCGGTCCGCAGTCTGCAGGAAACCCCCCGGGTCTGGGGAATCAGTGGTGACAGTGGAGCCCCCTGAATTCATGATGGAGCCACTTCTAGATCTTCAATCGCAACTACATACCTCAATGTCACCGGACTGGGCGGCGATGGCGTTATCATGACCTCGTATTTCCCCTTGAACGTGTAGTGGCTGGGAGATGAAATTGTGTGGGCCCCATATCAGGTACGCTGCCCTTTTGGATTCAGCGCGGCTCTGTCAGGTCAAGCGTGTTCACGATGAATTCAACAAGCTGTGACTGCGCTGATATCAGCTTGCCTGCCCTCGGCCAGCCGGAGTCATGCGTGCGACG